AACGAAAGCCAAAGGGGGAAATAAATAAATGGAAACCAGCAGAGGGGATCTCTCGTGTCAGTGCCGTCTCCGGCATCACATCCCCTGTGTTTGTCCGGGCCCTTGTGGGGACACAGGGACAAGGACACAGCCCCGCTCTGTCCTGGCCAGGCTGTGGTGGGGTTGGGAGAAGCTGGTGGGATGCACATGTTCTGCTGCATTTGCCTCGGACCCACTTTCTCCTTTGCCATGTGCTTTGCTTTCACTCCATCCTGGGACTGAGCTTTGTGCCATCTTGGTTTTTGAAGACGAAAGGGAAAACCCAGCCCCAACTAACCTCTCTCCTCTCCCTGCAGAAGGTTCTCCTGGAGCTGGGTTTGGTCCAGCTCAATCCTTCCCACTGGCAGAAGAGCTCTGCAGAAGACCTCCTTCCCACGGACTTTCAGAACAGAATGACATTTAAAAAACAACCCCAAAACCCTAGAAAAACCCCATCACCCCATAAATTACCAGTTTCTTCCAAAAACAACTCCTCGTTCCCCATCCCACCCTCCCCAAACATCCCAGAGGACTGACGGATCCCGGCTCCGACACGCCACACTCCGAGCAATCGCCGCCGGCTGTAGTGAGGATGGAGGCTGGGAAAGCAACCGAACCAAGCGTGTGAAGAAACAATCCGAAGGCTTTGGACCACCTTCTCCCCGGCCCTCTCCTCTGTGGGAAATGGAAAGCCCCCGGGGCCACAGCGGCCGGGCTGCGGATCAGCTGGGGAGCAGGACGTGCTCCAGAAAGTAGGTGATGGAGTCCCAGTGCTTCCAAAGGAGGAAGAGGAAGAGGACAAGCAGGGCAGTGCTGAGGATGCGCATGCGGGTCTTCATGAGCGGGGTGATGAAGTTGGCGATGGTGGAGACGAAGACGAGCAGCACGGCCATCAGGGCCAGGATAACGTTGATGAACTTGCCCAGCAGTGCCCGGGCGTTGGCGTTCTCCACCCCTTCCAGCTGTACCACTTGCTGCTGCTGCTGCTGCAGCTCCAGCTTGGTCACCCGCGTCAGGCAGGACTCTACCGCCTCCTGCCAAGGACAGCACAGGGACAGCACATCAGGATTGTCCAGCGGCTCCAGGGATGCCCCGTGAGGGTTTTTGGTACGTGCCCTGTGCTCTGAGACCTTGCTGCTGCCAAATTTTCCTTGCACATCTCCAATGCCTTTCCAACCTTGTGATGGTGGTGGCTGGGAAGGGCTTTCCCTCTGCAAACCCTTGGCCCATGCGACGTGCAAGGCGTGCCTTGTCCCACACTGCCCGTGCTGGGGAAGGTCTCGGTGCTGGGAGTACGTGCTGCAGTGGGGGAGATGTCCCCGCTGTCCCAGTTTGGGTCTGTGTTGGCCCACACGTGGCTTGTAACAGCCCAGTGCTGGAGTCACCCACACAGAGCCTTGTCCAGCCTGGAGCACCCAGGGATTTTGGCACAGCGAGGACTCTCTGGGGCACAGATGGGCGTTTTGGGGACACAGCTTAGTTATCTGCTTCTTGCTATGACAGCGTCAGAGGTGGGTGCTGAGAAAGAGATCCCCCTTGCCCACCCTCCCTCCCAGCCCAAAGTCCCTCCCTTTCCCCATGGATGGAGGGTGCAGCGGGGGGCTGAGCCCTCACGCTCCCCTACCTGGATGTCCCGTGCCCTCTCGTAGGACTGGTAGGCCACCTTCTCCTCCATGCTGGCCAGCTCCTGCTTCAGGTTGGTCATTTCATTCTGGTGCAGCTCGGTGAGGTCATTCAGCTGTTCCTCCAGGCGCTCGTACCTGTGCACGGGGGGGTGGAGGGGCACTGGGGTGGGCAGGTCCCCTGCAGACCCCCCTGCCCTCCTTCCCCTGACACTGGGGAAACCACCCGGCCCCTCTGACCCACCCCGCTCCTGGCTGTAGCTGGTTATGGCTGATGAAGGGAAAGCATTGCATGATGAGGCACTAGCACAGGTTGCCCAGAGAAGCTGTGGATGCCCCATCCCTGGAAGTGTCCAAGGCCAGGCTGGATGAGGCTTGGAGCAACCTGGTCTAGTGGAAGGTGTCCCTGCCCATGGCAGGGGGGGTGGAACTAGATGATCTTTAAGGTCTCTTCCAACCCAAACCATTCTATGATGATCCTTCATGGGAGCGTTGCTGCTAGGGGGTCTGGCAGTGAGGAGGGCAGTGGCGACTGCATCTCCCCATGTCTCTGGTACACAGAACTTAGCTGGACAAGCCCAGGATGGCCCTGTGGTCCCCAAAAAGCCATCCTGGCACCTGGCCATCCCTACCTGTACCGCTCCTCTTGCAAGCACTGGGTCATGTAGGTGTAATCCCGCTGCAGCTGGGCCTTGAGGTCCTCCATGGAGTCCTCCAGGTGCGACTGGCTGTCCTTGATCTCCCGGAGCTCCTCCAGGATGGTGTCGAAGTTATTGTGGTGGCTGTCCAGCGTGTTGGACTTGGGGCTCCCCAAGAAAAAAAATGCTGCCACCAGCCGAGCCAGAGGTGGCACTGGAGCACTCGTCGTCGCTGCCATACTTGGGGCTGGAGACCAGGGTGGCACTGCCGCTGAGAGCCCGTGAAGCCTCCTCCGGGTGCCCATCATCCAGCGTGTCCTTCAGGTGGGCGATGTTGTCTGCGCTACCGAATTTGTTCCGGATGAGGCTGGCGAACTCCCGGGGCTTGGAGACCACGGCGGTGTGGGTGGCCTGGGACAGACCCGAGAGCCCTCCCTTGACACCCTCCACCACGCCGCCACCGAAACCACTGATGCTGGAGCGAACGTTGGCACCCACATCCTTGAGACCCTGATGCATGTCCCGGAAGACATCCTTGGGCTGCCGGGAAGGACCATTCTGCTCGATCTCCTTCAGCTTCTTGTGGTAGTGCTCCAGCTTCTTGTGCAGCTGCGCAATGGTCTGCGCCGACTTCTGGTTCTTCTTCTCGAAAACCTGCTTGATGCGGGAGGCTTGCTGCTTGTCCGCGTTGTTGGCCAGCTTCAGGTACTCGGCCACGTTGTCATCCCGAGCCTCCTGCTCGATCTTGATCTGCTCGGTGATCTTAAGGATCTTCTGGTGTAGGTGCTCGATGGCAGCTTTTGTCCTGTGAGGGTCAGGGGTGCCATCGGGGATGTCCAGGCAGACGGTGCCGTCGGCGTCACTGTGCCCGGCGGAGGAGGGCAGGCTGAGCGCGGTCACGTCCCCCTTGTCCAGCTGCAAGCAAAGAGAGGAGGATGCTCAACAGAGGGAGCTTAACGCCCGGGCAGCTCAGGGAGAGGGCAGGAGAGGAATGAGGTGGGGGCAGAGGAGGGAGAGGGAGGCAGGAGAACAGTTAACCAGAGCATTAGTGAGAAGTTGGGTTTTTTTATGGCTGTTTTAGCATTTCCCAGCCATACCACTACTGCTGGCATCCCAGGAATAAACCAGTTAGAGGGCACAACAACAAAATAATCAGGGTTTCGGGGCTGGTTTTGGGCAGTGGCTTTCAGCAAGGAGCATCTGCTGCCGGGACCTCGACTCTGACTTTCTGCCCTTGCTCCGTGCAGAGGTGGGCACCCACGTTTCTGGGCTGCTGGACACCCAGTGCCAGCCAGGGAAAAAGGAGCTAAAACTGGAACCCAGCATCAAATCTCCCAGCAAACCAGCGGTGAGAGCAGGGATTGAGCAACCCGGAGGTATTTTAGTCTTGTTTTCAGAGTTTGGCTTTTAGCCTAGATGCACACAGGAGTTTGTCAGCTGAAGAGAAACTCTGCCATAACCTACTTCGTGGGTGACTCAGGAGCAACCTCTGATCCCCAGAGAGCTGCAGGCACAGGGACTCCTTTGCTTTCATTTCCAAGGTTTCTCACCTGGCGATGCCAGACTCCTTTTGCAAACACAAGCTGCCACCTGGAAAGTTTGCACAGTCACAGATTTCCATTTTACAGATGGAAAAATTGGAGCTTTAGGAGAGGAAATCACTTGCCTGAGGTCACACTTAAAAAATCAACTGGACTGCAACCCAGGGTCCTGCCTCGTGCTCTCCAACCTGGGCACGCTGCTTTGCCACTTGGAAAAATTCCCATAAATCACTAAATCTTTCCAGTTGCTGGGTTTTATATGCAGATTCTTATGCAAATCTCCGTGGTTGTATAAATGGCTCCTGGCTTCTAATTAAGAGCTGCTTGAAAGTTAAATACTGTTGGCAGACCTGAATAATTTCTAATTTCCATCACACTTTCCCCGAATGACCCTTTAATAGGGATAATGCCGCGAGATCATTACTTAGGAGTGTGTTATCGCCGGGAAATGCCTTGCGCGGGAGGGAGGAATGTTCTCAAGATGCTGCTTATAAACGCTCCTGTCTGTAGCAGGTCCCACACGGGGCTCGGAGAAGCAGGGGAAAACGCTGCCCTCCTGTTATTTACTTGCATCTCCTCCTTCCCCAACACTGCTGTCCTGCTGGGAGCCCAGGGGTGTTGGTGCTTCGTGCAGGGGTCTCAGCCTCCTTGGGAGGCAAGAGCAAACCACAAGCTCAGTTGGAGCATCCCCCAGCCCCCTCCCCAAGGCTTTTCTTCTCTCTCCATTGCAGCAGTGCTAAAGCAAATTGGGGCAGGGGCTGGAGGATGAAAGCAAGAGGGAGAACCCAGCGGCCCCTAGCCTGCAGGTGGGTGTGGGGCAGAGCTGGGACCTGGTTTCAGTCTGGCTGGAGCAGAATTCTTAAAAAACAGTAATTCCCAACAAGCCTGTGGAGTTATCGGACCCCGCTGCCAGGCTATTCTTAGTCGCTTGGCTGGGCTGGGCCCCCCAGCCACCCCACAAAGGGTTTTGTTTTGGTTTCTTATCGAGGGGCAAATATTAGAAGCAGCAGGAAACAGACTTTTTGCCCAGATGTGCAATTCCGTATACAGTAAGGGACAAACCCACCGTGGCAAGGGAAAAGGCAGCCCTGGAGATGCTGAAACGGGAAACCCCAACAGAGACAGGGAATGGGAGAAGTTGCTCAAACTTTGTTTCCAAAGAGGGAAGGTTTGGGGAATCACCCGAACCTTTTTCCCTGCAAAGCCAGCCTTTTGGATCTATTCGTGGGAGTATATTTGGGAGAGCGTGGGGAAGGGAGGGCAGGATGGGTGGTGAGCGGCATGGGTCCGATGGTGCCCATCCGCGCGGATGTGGCTGGGGTGAAATCCTTCCCCCCAGCCCCACCGAAAGCTTTGCTCTCCCTCAGACACAGGGCACAGCACGTGAAAGCCACATCAGGTTATTGCTTTGAAAACAACCACCAAAAAAAGACAATACCAATCTCCGCAGCATTAACAGACAGCGCCTGCTAAATCCCAGCAAGCCTAAATGACTGCGCAGTGGATTTAACCGGGGGATTAGCAAAAGCCACACTTTAC